TTTTAACTATGTTAATCTGTGTGGATAGCAAAGCTCCTCACTGGACTTTGTTGTTGTAATGTGCCATCAAGTTGACAATGACTCATAGAGACCCTATGCATAATAACTTTGAACCCTGATCTATCCTGAGCCAATCTCACTGTCTCAGACACATCTAACCCTATTATCATGTAAATGCACCTCATCCAGCGTCTTCCTCTACTACACTGTCCTTTCAACCCTTCCAAGCATGATAACCTTCTCCAAGGACTGGTCCCTCCTGGAAACATGCCCCATATATACGAGATGGAGCCTCCAAATCATTGCTTCCAAGGAGCAGCTTTGTTTCATCCTCTCCAGAAGGGACTGATCTCTTGGCAGTCCGTGGTATGTTTATTACTCTTCTCCAGCACCACAACTCAAAGGTAACAATACTTCTTCTGTCATCCTTGGTCATTGTCCAGCTCTGATACACAGCACATATGCAAAATATCAGGTACCACCCTACAGTAACTAGACCAGAATCTGTACTTTAACAAGATCACACAGGTAGTTTGTTACATATTAAAATCTGAGAAACCTCAAGCTAAAGCTCATTTAAAACTGAGAACTTTATAAAACCACATCCCACATCCCTTAAAACAAAACAAACCTCAGGCTCATTGCATGATTCCTAAACAAATCATAAAATATTAACAAATCCATCTTTAGGCCTCCATTTTTCTAAAGTGTTTAGGCAACTGGGTAGACTAGAGGCTGGTTTTTCCCTGGACATAGACAAAGATCATATGGAAAGAGGGGTTTTGTTTTAAAGATCTAAAGAATAAATATGAAAGAAGCCCATTCTCTGCTTTAAGGGAAGAGAACAGTCTTCTAATGTGAACCAGGCTGTCTTGGTGCACTCACCTCCACCTCTGGGAGGTCCTTGCTGCTGCTTAGAGCTGTCTTCTGGCACCTCTAGTCTGTGACTATTGCCTGAAAGGGACCAGAGATTACACGTTAGTCTTACTTCTGTAGGTTCTCAGAGTTCCTCAGAATGGCCTTAACAAGTAGATGCCAACCAGAGGATGAGATGACTTTTCCAAGCTTACATGCATGGAGACATCACGAAAAATATAAAAGTATACTGCATACCACCCCTATTTAATTAGTTCTTTTCATTGGTAAAGGCTAAGTTTATGCCTATTTCCCAGGTCTCAGAAAGGTTAAAGCAAAATCACAAACAAGGCCCTTGATAGTATCTGGAAAATAACCCAACAAAAACTATACTAAAAAACACAATTTATCTTTCACCGCTGGTCTCTTGTGTTGGAGGTATGGACCCTTATCATGAGTGTTCTTTTGTTGTATATGATAAGTCTGTGGCACATATTCACTATTTCAGTTTTTTCACTATTCATTATGGTCATCTTATGCTTTAAAATCTTTCCTAAAGGAGGAAAAAACCCTCAACTTTCCCAAGGTCAATTGTTTCACTCTTTCCCAAGACATCTCAATGTCAAGAAAACAAAAAATTCTCACCACTAGACTAATAGACAGCATCATAATAGATGTAGAAAAGATTGAAACTGTCAGCAACTTCATCTTATTTGGGTCCACAATCAATACATTTGGCACCAGGAGTCAGGAGATGTATTGCTTTAGGAAAGTCTGTAGTTACAGAATTTGCCAAATTACTGAGGAGCAGTGATGTTAGTTTGAAGACTAAGTTGTGCTTGATTCAGACCATGGTCTTTTCAATCACTTGCTATGCTTCTGGGAGCTGGACAATGAATAAGGATGACAGAAGAAAGAAAAATTGATGCCGTTGAACTGTGGTGTTGGTGAAGAATGCTGTGTATCCCATGGACTGCCAAAAAAATAAACAGATAGGTCTTGGAGAAAGTGCGGCCAGAGTGTTCCTTGGAGACAAAGATGACAAAGCTGTGTTGTGCATACTAGGGGTATGCTGCTAGGAAAGGCTGTTCCTTGGAGAAGGACCTCATGGTTGGGAAGGTGGAGGGACAGCAAAGGAAAGAGAGACCCTGAAACAGGTGAATTCACACAGTGACTGTAGCAACGGGCTGGACTATGTCAGAGACTGTGAGGTTGGCACAGGATAGCACAGGGTTCAGATCTGTTATTCATAGGGTTGTTATGAGTTTTACTCGACAACACCTAACAACAACAAGATCCCAAGACAAGGTCTCATACAGATCTTGGAAGAGAGGTGGTGCAACAAACGTTTACAGAATGATATAATGATTGGATTGTAGTTTTACTTCACACATCCATTAAAACCATTTCCAGAAAAAGGAAAAAAAGGGGTAAGAAGATTAAAAGGTAAAATTTCTGTTCTTCCTTGGGAACCTGAAGTCATTTTCAACCTTTCAACTCTAAAAATCCAAAGGTCATGGCTGCTAAGGGGGAGATGAGAGGCCCCTCCCAGCGGGCTTGTGCAGACAACATTGTGACAAGTTTTTCCCAAATGGCCTTGATGGTTTTCACACAGGTCACTCTTCCATCCTGAGCTATTTTTCACCTGGTGGTTCCAAAGGAGCTCAATCCTTGAGTCACTAACTAGTCATTTTATGACAAGACAGAAACACTATCTCTCACTACAAGACATATTTGATATGTGACCCGGTCAGATTTCTGCTTTACAAAGGACACCATCACATTTTTGTTCACATAGGTAAGCATATGAGGCTCTTGGTCAGGAATGTCTTAATTCATCCTTTAGCCCTAGTTTCTTGGAGATGTCTTAGTTCCCAAGTTTTCTCATTTTACATCTACTCAACAACGAAGAATTATGCTTAGGAGTTTCAATTAGAGGAGTGCAATGAAAAGTTATGCTGGAGAAGAGTCTTGAATATACCATAGGCAGCCATTGGAGAGTTTCTTCTTGGAGGCTGGGATTTTGAAGCTCTTTCTCACATACTTTGGGCACATGGCCAGGAGGGACCAGTCCTTGGAGAAAGACATCATACTCAGAAGGGTGGAGGGACAGTGCAGGAGAGGGAGACCCCGGATGAGATGGATTGATACAGTAACTGGGGCAATGGGGTAAGTGTGTCAGAGTCAGTGAGATTGGCTCAGGACAAGACAGGTTTCAGAGCTGTTGTGCATAAGGTTGCTATGTCTTGAATCAGTACCTTAATCTTTGGGCTGACATCATTGCTGTTCAGTACTTTGGAGAGTTCGCTGACAGTTGACTTTCCCAATGCAGTATTTTTTAACTGCTAGTACCAAGGATGTTGATTATGGATCTGAGGAAGATGAAATCATTGACAACTTCAGTCTTTTCTCCATTTGTCCTGATGTTGTCTATTGGCCCAGTGGTGAGGATTTTTGTTTTGTTCATGTTGAGAAGTAATCCATATTGCAGGCTGTAGTCATCAATCTTTTCCAACAAATGTTTCAAGTCCTTTTCAACCTTATGTAAGCAGGGTTGTGTCCTCTGCATAATGCAGGCTGTGGATGAGTCTTCCTCTGATCCTGATACCACATTTTTCTTCATACAGTCCTGCTTCTGGAATGATTTGTTCTGCAAACAGATTGAACAGGTGTGGAGAAAGGATACAGCCCTGATGAATGCCTTTCTTTACTTTATACCATGCAGTGTTCCCTTGTTTTGTTGGTACAACAGCTTCTTGGTCTAGGTATAGGTTTGTTTTTTGTTTGTTTGGGGTTTTTCCCCCCTAAGGTTTATGTTCTTTAATTTTAAGAACTGGTTCAGAAGTAATGAAGGTCTAGGTATAGGTTTTGTATGAGCACAATTAAGTGTTCTGGGATTCCCCTTCTTCTCTCACTGTTAGCCATAGTTCGTTACAATCCACACAGTCAAACATATTTGCATAGTTAATAAAACATAAATAAACATTTCTCTGGTATTATTTGCTTTCAGGCAATATCCAATTGACATCTGCAGTGATATCCCGGGTACCGTGGTCTCTTTAGAATTGCTTTAATTCTGTAGCAGAGATGACTGTTTTCTGAGTAACTTCTAAAAAAAGGGGGCCTATCAAAGTATAACCGGGAACAGTGCTTAAAAAAAGGGCAATTTTAAGACAGGTTTGTGAGCAGGAGTGGCATCTATTTCCTAAACCACATGCCTCTGGAAACTATGAACTTGGAGAAATGATGATAGTTATAGAAAGGCTTCAGGCCTTTTATTTATAGGGTCACTATGAGTCTTGCGCGAATTGATGGCAATCAGCAACAACAACAATAATGAAAGTTACTTAATGACTTGATCTTCATTAGTCATGGATGTCACATTTGTGAATTCTTCTATTCACTAAAATGTATGTACAAGCTCGATATTAAAATCTTGCTGTGTTTTTCAATTCTTCAGTATCTCTACAGATGCAGATCAGGAAAACAGTTGAGTGGTTTGGCATTCACTAAATCAGTGTCACAAGAACTTTCTAGAACATAATCACCACATATAAGGAGAATCATCACTCTACGATGTGGTCTTGTGCCTAAATTCTAATACCATACACCTTATAGTTAATATGCTTAGCTGCTAACTGAAAGTCCAAGTTCACAGCCACCTCCAGAGCTTCAGAAGAAAGGCCTTGCTATCTACTTCAGAAAAAGTCAGTCACTGGAAACCCTGTGGAGTTATACTCTGAGGAGTATAGTATTGCCATGAGTCAGGGTTAAGGTGCAGGTGAATAGGGTATTGGAGACTGAGAGAATGGCACAGGCTAGGATGGGATTCCGATCTCTCATTCATAGGGTTGCTATGAGTTGTACTTGACTCAAAGTCACCTACCAACAACAACAGCTGAAAGCTTTGTCACCTCTAACAGGTAGCTTGTTCACCCTCTTCTGGTTGCAGTCTGTGGTGCGGTCCATCTAAGGATTCAGACTTAGCTAACACCAAAAGCTCCCCTCCCTGGGCATGTATGGGCTCAAGTCTGAGAAGCTGGACAAAGTGCAGCTCTTTCTTCAGCAGCAACAAAGAAAAAGGGCAGAAATACTCTGGATAGCAGAGCCACTCTGCCAGCAGGCGGGAGGGGAACCAAGCCTACCTGGCTCTGTCCTCCCATCCTCCTTGTCCACGGCTTTCTCAGAGGCACTGGAACTCCAGGCGAAAGGCTGGTGGCTGAAGAGGTCATCACACAGCAGGCTTCGGCACAGTTTGGTCAGGAAGCGAAGGACATACCCTATGTTATTTACCACAGGCAGACTCCGCAGGTGCTGTTTTCCATCGAAGGAGGCTGAGACTGAAAAAACCATAGGGATAGACAGTGACTCAGTGCTATGCACTCGGCAACCAACAATTAAATAGACCCAAGAAGATGCTTTATCAGTGCTGGCTGTTTTTTAATAGACTTTCTTAGTATTGCAGTCCTGGATGGGACAAATGGTTAAAGGCATCTGCTGCTAACCAGAGGTTGGAGAGTTGAGTCCAGACAGAGGCCTCTTCGGAGAAAATCCTGTTTATCTACTTTCAAAAAAAAAACCAGCCATTGAAGGCCCTATACGGCACAGTTCTACTCAGACACACTCAGTCACTATGACTTGAAATTTACTTGATAGAAACTGGTTTTTATTTCAATTTCACCTGGGTTCCCCCCACCCCACTAACGTCCTGTTTATGTTTTCACTAATATCCTTTATTCATTATTTATTGATGTCAGTTCAGAACTGACTCATAACTGACCCACCAGCACGTTTTCTGAAGGTGATCACATGGGAGGAGATGGCCCTTCTTTCTTTCTTGGTGAACTGGAACCACCCGAAGGCATTACCCTTGATTTGGCAGCAGCACTTCCCACGAACTATGCCACCAGAGCTCCAGCAAGCTCTGAATGCCCTTTAATTAATATGTGTTATTGCCAGGTTTCGCTCCAGTGCATCACATGGCATTTAGTCAACACGTCTCCTTAACCTACTCTGGGGAGTTTCTCATTTTCTTTTTTATTCATGAGCTTGATAGTTTTGAAGTGTTTTGCAAATGCCCAGACTTGAGGTTGTCTGAGGTTTTCCTCATGATTAAATTGGGATTATGAATTTGGGGAAGGAGACCAGACAGGTGAACGTATCCCATGACATTACACCAGAGAATACATAGCATTCACATGCCTTGTCACTGGTGATGGTTATCTAGCCAAGGTAATGTTTGCTTGGTTTCTCCACTCACTGTATTCTCCATATTCAAGTCCCTGGAGGTGTGAATCATTAAGTCCTGTCCACCTTTCAGGGAAGTGGGTGCACTAAGCCTAACCTCACTTCCTGGAAAGGCAAGAGTCTACGTATTATTTGGAATTCTTCTATAAGGATGGTCAGTTTCCTCTCCTTCATTTATTTATTAAGTCAGTTACTTATTTATATCAGTGTACACATTTAATAGGGAGCTCTGGTGACCTAGTGGCAAGAAACTGCATTGAATCCTGAAGACATGAAGTTAGAGGCCACCAGCTTTTCCACGGGAGAAGGATGGGCAATCTCCTCCAATGTGATTAACTGCCTCTGAAAACCCGCCAGAGGGTCAGCTATGGGTTGTTTCTTACTCTATGGTACACACAACAACAACAGCAAACAACAATATATTTAAATTGTATTTTATACTGTGAGTAATTCAATACTATGCTATTTATTTTATTTCTTAAAATGCCCCCACTTTGGTCTTTGGAAGCCTTCTTATGTTGACTCCTGTGTAATTTGTGACCTTCCACTACTGTTTCGGCACTTCTTTGCTTTCTGACACCATACTATTCTTTAGATTCATCTTGTGTATTTCTTGTCTAAGTCCTAGAATCGACCATTTCTTCAAGGAGCTTTGGGAAGGATGGGGTTTAGAGATGGACACTAGTGTGCTTATTGCTACTGACTTGTCACTAGTTCTTAGTCCTTTCAGTGGACAGAGTTAAGAAACATTTGCCAGTGTATCATTGTTGTTAGATGACATTTCGTTGTTTCAACTCATAGCAACGTGTAGGATAAAGGTGAGTCAACCCATGAAATTTTCTTGGCTGTAGACTTTATAGAATCAGATTACCAAGTCTTTCTCCTGTGGAGTGACTGGGTAGATTCTAATTGCTAACTTTAAGTTAGCAGCCAACTGGTTACCCACTTATATATCCCTTTGATCTGTATAATAGTCATTGTTATTGAGTTAATTCTGACTCATAGTGACCCTACAGGATAGAGTAGAATTGCCCACAGGTTTTCCAAGCCTGTAAGTCTTTACAGAAGCAACCTGCCACATGTTTCTTATACCCGGTAGCTTAACCTCTAACCTTTCTATTAGCAGCCAATTCTCTCACCACTGTATGACCTAGGCTCTTTGTACACTGTTGTTGTCATTGTTGCTATCTGCTGCGAATGTACCTGCCACTCACAGCGACAGAATGTACAACAGCTCTGAAGCCTGCTCTGTCTTGAACCAGTCGCACCGACTCTAACACACATACTCCCTTTGCCCTACTTACTGTAACAATCCATCTCATTTGGGGGCCTTCCTTTCCTATGCTGCCCCTCCATCTTTCTGAGCATGATGTGTTTCTCCAAGGATTGGTCCCTCCTGGCCACATGCACAAAGTATCTGAGAAGCTTCAAAATCCTAGCCACCAAGGAGAAACTTTGGTTTTACCCTCTCCGAGACAGACCTACTTGTTTTCTTGGTAGTCTATAGTATATTCAAGATTCTTCTCCAGAACCACAACTCAAGGCACCGATTCTTCTTCTGTCATCCTTAGTCATTGTCCATCTCTCTGGTGCATAGTAAGTATTTACAAAGACCATGGACTGGATCAGGTGCACCTTAGTCTCTAGACTGACATCGTAGCTCTTCAGTACTCTGGAAAGTTTCCTGACAGCAGATTTACCTAATGCAATTTGTCTTTTAAATTTCTAACTGCTGGTGCCAAGAGTATTGATAGTGGAGTCGAGCAAGGTTCTGTTAACAACCTCAATCTCTTCTCCATCCATCATGGTGTTGCCGGTTGGAACAGTGGTGAGCAGCTTTTTCTTCTTAATTTTGAGCTTCCATTCATATTGAAGACTACAGACCTTGACCTTCTGCAGTAAGTGCTTCAGGTCTTCCTCAGTTTCAACAAGCAGGGTTGTGTCATCTGCATAATGTAGGTTGTTGATGAGTCTTCCTCCAATCCTGATGCCACATTCCTCCTCATAGAGCCCAGCTTCCTGAATGATCTGTTCTGCATATAGATTGAAAACGTATGGAGACAGAACACATCCCTGATATAGTCCCTGCCCTATTTTGAACCATACAATGTTTCCTTGCTCTGTTCTGAGGACTACTTTCCTGGTCCAAGTATAGGTTTCATATAAGCACAATCAAGTGTTCTGGGATTCCCATTCTCCTCAAGATTAGCCACAATTTGTTGTGATCCACACAGTCAAATGCCTTTGCACAGTCAATGAAATACAGATAGATATCCCTCTGGTACTCTTTGCTTTCTGCTATAATTAATTCTGAATATATTTCTTGGAATATATATACATATTTAAATAAACATGTATTCAAATGACATCTCAACTATAATACAGTACTAAAGGGTTCACACTAGCCTTCTGAGGAAGAGTTGCAATAAGCAGGAAAATCCTTTCTGCAGTGAGTTAAAAGAATTTAGAATTGAGAGACTTTGGTCTTCTCTAGCCCAGAGCACGTTTTGTGTCTGCATTTCTCTTCACATCCATCTAGTCCATGTGCTTGCACTCTAGCTTCTGCAATGGAAGACACACAGGAAATCACAAATAGGATATCCTTTTTCCACCTAAGTTTCTGCCCCTGAATGTCAACATTCAGGATGAGCTTGGCGATTTATGTTACATCTCCTAAAGGCTGGTAGAGGCAGGAAGTAGCTTGGGGTAATCATATCTAGCTTTGATTTCACAACTGAAAGGAAGCATCCATTGTAATGAAAAATTAAGAGAATCTATTTCTTTTTACACCAGTGTTCATAGCAGTATTATTCCCATTTGCAAGAACCTTGGAATAACTCAAATGCCAACCACAATTGAATGGATTGAGAGATTCACATGATGGAATACTACATAGCACTCAGAAGCAATGATTTTGAAAATTATTATATAACTTGGAGGGGACTGGAGAGCATTATGCTAAGTGAACTAAGTCAGTCTCATAAGGACTACTACTGCACAAGACCATTATTGTAAAACTAGACAGATAAGTAGTAAAACATGTATGGAGGTTCAAAAGGGGAAGGGGTGGGAGCAGAGGAGTGAAAATAGGTAAGAGGGAAATCACAGGGTCACATAGTTTGGTTGGTGGATGTAGGGGGTAAAGGAAAAGGTAAAAATCTGTCAGGGATCTGAAAAGATGAGGTAATGGTGGGGAAAGGTCAATAGTGATTAATTTTATAAAACACAATGAGAAGACATGCAGAACAGGTGGAAAATAGGCAGTATGGAAGCATGGTGTCCACAGTACTTTGGGGGAAACATTGCTGTCTCTCTATACCGTGTATGATGCCTTAAGCTCAAGCAGAAGGAAGCAGAAGAACTTGAGCTTGGCGGAGACACCATTTCTGGACAAAAGCAACAGGTTTCCTGGTATACCATTCAGGTACTTTGGGGGAAATACTGCTGTAACAAAGGGAGAACAAATATATTGGTTCTTCATAAATCATTGTCATACTCTGGGTCACTATATAGTTAAAAAAAATCTAACATCTATTAAGACAAGACTCACATAATGTCAAGAAAGAAGCAGTCTGCCTCAATAATCATAAAACATACAAGATAATCCTTCTCCTAAAGAAGCAGACCCAATGAATCCTCCAGATAGAGAGAACCAGAAAAATATGTTGATATGGAGTTTATCTGAATAGCTATAGAAGAAGATGCAAATGATGGAAGAAACAATTAAGAGAGCAAATACCCTAGAGACAGTACTCCAGAAGAAATATATTGATGAGGAGCAACTTGAACAGCTGTGGAAGTAAATGCAAAAGATGGAAGAAAAAATTGATAGTATAAAGATGTGTAAGAACTTTAAAAATCATCACAAGACAAGTTGGGTACAGCCAACTCAGTCCTGGAAAGGATAGAAAAGCATGAAAATGCAATCCAAAATATTAAGAATTAAATGGCAGATGCATCCAACATGAAGTAGGACAAAAAGGTAGAACTGAAGAAGAGGAACAGAGAATCAGTGATCTGAAACTCCAGAGCCTTACTGGAAACATGCTAGAAGAAAAATCAGAGATGAAATGTAAAGAAAATGAAGAAAACA